GTTAGGGCGTCGAGCCCAATGGGAGAAGAGCAAGCCACCGGGCCTCAGACCATTCATCGGCAGGGACAAAACCTCTGCGGAACCGACAGACAGAACGACACACACACTGCCTTCTTGGAACCATGCCTACGAACATACAAGACCTGACATTTCTAATGGGTACACCTTTCTTGAGAACACCCCGGCCGTGTCCAGCAGAAGGAAGCCGCAGGCGTGGCCACACCGCTGGTCTCGCGGAGCTCCTTAGGCAAACCTTGAGCACCAGGGCCACACCCACCGGCCGGCCCACTATTCTCGTGCATCCCCAAATCTGCCGCCCTAAGGAAAACGGTTCCCCTCACCACCCACAGAGTAGCCCTTTTCCGCATCTAACTGTACCATCCACCCACCCCAGCCCCAAAGTATTAACCCACCCTTCCCAGATAAGTGCTCCGGCATGCAGTGCTACTCACCTGGGTATCGAACCCGTTTTCCAAGGAGCCGCTTTTCCGCAGCGGGAGCCCCTCCCCACCCGGCTCCTGCAGCCCCTGCGATTTCAGGGGGATCTGGCTAGGGTAGGCGGTCTTGCTCACCTCCACCTTGCTTCCCAACTTGATGTAGCAGGGCTGGGGGCCGGCCCGGGCCGGGGGCACGTGCAGGATGGGCGCGGCGCTGTGCACCGGTTTAGGGAGTCCCGACTTCATTTTGGAGGCGACCAGGATGGCCGGCATCTTCTCCCGGGGCTTCGGTTTTCCCAGCACGTCCCTGGTAGCGGCGGCGGAGGCGACCGCTAAAGGCAGCGCGGGCAGCAGAGCAGGCGCCGGGCCTCGGCCCGCGAGGAGCCCACTGCCAGCGGCGGAATAAAAAAGCCCCGGGTCGGGGAACTTGGAGGAAGCAGGCGAGCGCGCTTTCGGGGTGCCGGGATGAGAGCCCGGGACTAGTGACTGCGCTCAGCGGACCCCACCTGGACCGATGCTGCAGCCGAATCTCACGCCCCTCCTGGGCGAGCCGCTTAAGAGCTCTGGGTGCTCGGGGGCTGCTGCCTCTTGCAAGTTTCCTTCTGGGAAACCGAGGCTTGAACGCCCATATTATCTTGTCACTGCATCTCCGAAGTGAGGAGGTCCTTTTGGAAGGGAGAGAGCTGCGGGGACGCACGCCTCCCGCTCCAAGAGACTGAGGGTGTGAGCGGGAGAGGGAAGGAGCGAGCAGCGGAGGAAGAAGAGAAGGAGGGCGCACCGAGCCCAAGACGTCTCCACCGAAAGGTAGCTGTCGCCCTGCTCGCGAGCACCGCAGCGTCACCCGCGACGCAGAGGCGCGGCGAGAGCCCCCGAAAGGTCTCTCTTGGCGTGACAGTCGGTCACCACTGCCCAGAAGCCCCCAGGACAGATAGCACCTTAGCGCCTGCGGGTCTGCACATGCTCCGTGCGCTATAGCGCAGCAAGGCTGTGGCAGTGGGGCGCCGGTACCGGGACGCGCGGCTGGCGGGCTGGGCAGGGCTGCACTCGCGAGCTGCCGCCGCGCTTCCCGGGAAGGCTGCGCTGGCTGCGAGGCTCCGCGCAGGGGAGGACAAGCCGCTGCCGGCGCGGCTGCGGCGCGCGCTGACAGCCCGGGCCGCCCCAGCGCGCCCATTGGTCATCGATGCACCAATCAGCGGCCGCGGCTCTCTCTGCAAAGGGGGCGTGGCCTCAACTCCCCGGCCGCCGCCGAAACTCTGGGGCCGCGCTTGGCCGCAAGTACAAAGCGGGCTGGTGGCCGCTCTGCGGCACAGCTCGGGCCGCGCGCTTCCCGGCGGGCCGACACCCCCACTTCCCTGGAGTCTTCTTTTGAAAAATGCCCTTTCGAACGCAAACGCCCGCCCCGGGGCCCCGCGGGTACGGCTCCAGAGAAGTGTGCTTGCATTTTCAAATTGCTCAGGTCATCTTAACGGTTTGAGGCTTCCGGAGTCACTCCCGCCGCCTCACTGCCCCCCATCTGGCCTGAGTAGGGCCTCTTCTTGTCTCCCGCGTAAAGGACGCGCCAGCCGTTTCGCTTCTTTTCTGCCTGCTCTTCCAGGCGGGCCGGGGGGCCTCCCAATAGCTTCCTCTCCAGCTTTCAAAGGCTGCACATTTCACTTAACTATTTGAAGTATTTATAGGCAAATACAATACCCAGAGAAGCCTCCCGCCCCGAGACAGCTCCTCCTTGCAACCTACCACAGACTCTGTAATTAGAATGGCCCGAGAAAGCCAGGAGAAGGCTCAATGACCCTGGCAGGCTCCGGCTAAACCAGGCTGCGTTTCATGTAGGAGCCCATCCCTGTCCGCGCCTCGGACGCACTGGCCCCACAGGTTCCTCGGCTTTAATTTACCAGAGGATTTCTCCCCTCGTCTCGGTCTTGGAAGCTGTGGGTTCCTCGCTGAGTCAAAATATGTGAAAACTGGAAGGGAGCTGAGGAGCAACCGAGGCAGGCCAGAGCCCTCGAGGTTCACGGCCCTCCACGCTGTAGAAATGCCTGAATTTGAATCGGACATATTCTTTTAACTTTATATGCATCCTTATAAAGCTCTGGTTTCCACACTTAGTAAGGTGGAGGTTTGAGTGCATTTATTCAATGCGCTGTTGTTTGGATTAAATGAGATAGTACATGACAGTCTTTTAGCATCAAAAACGAATTAAAAAACCCAAACCCATTTCCCTCCAGCGGAAAATTGCCCCAGAGGGTTTCCAAGGAGTGGCTGCTGGATTCAAACTACCAACATTTTGGTTAGCAGCTGATCTCCTAACCACTGGGCCACCTAGGCTCCCGTTAAGCACTCGTGCCTGGCAATGTATTCTTGTTGTTGTGTACCATTAATTCAAACTCATAGCAACCCTATAGGACAGAGTAGAACTGCCCCATAGGGTTTCTTAGGAGCAGCTGATGGATTAGAACTGCTGACCTTTTGGTTAGCAGCCAAGCTCTTAATCACTGCACCAGCAGGGCTCCACAACGTTGATAGAATTGATTTATAATTATCCACACGATAGGAAACTTCAAAGTGTAAAACAACCTCTGCAGCATTAAGAAATGAGAAGTTGCCTTCTTAGCCTGGCTTGCTCCCTTTTCCACCTTACCTCCTACCCATTCTATGTACAAACCTTCTACTCTAGCTAGGCTGGAATGCACAGCCCTGTATATAAGCTGGCACTGTGGTCAAGTGCTCAGCTGATAACCGAAAAGTTGGGGGTCTGAACCCATCAGCTGCTCCATGGAAGAAAGATATGGCAGTCTGCTTCCATAAAGATTACAGTCTTGGAAATCCTATGGGGCAGTTCTACCCTGTCCTAGATGGTCTTTATGAGTCAGAATCAACTTGCCGGCAATGGGTTTGATTTGTTTTTGTTTTTTTTGGTTGGTATATAAGCTTGTATCAAGTATCCTCTCTCCCTCTGAAGTTAAATCACACGTGATTCCTGCCACTGTTTTAACACTCTGCCCTTTGCCATCAGATGCCACCTCCTGGACTGTTGTCTTGCTTTATTTAACTTTTGTTATTTACTGTTTCATGTATTTCTTTATTTTCTTCTTAATTAAAGAATAAGCCTCTTGACATTAGGGCCTAGACCTTAACTGTCTTTAGCTTCTCTAAGCTTGGAGTATAATGCTGGGAACAGAATAGCTACCCAAATTGTTACTGAGTGAATGAATGAATGATGCTGGCAACTACTCTGAATAAGGATAGTTGTCTTTTAGATTCAGGACCATAAAGTCATAAGAAGTGTCACGTATATTAAATCTGGGGACTCTCCTACTCAGATTTCTAGTTCTGACAGATGTACCAAGAGTTAGGGAGATATTGCTGTCTTCAAGTCTTCAACGTCTAAACGTCAAGGAGAGATTTCAAAGCATTCCCATGCTCCTAATTCAGTGATTCTCAAAGTGTGGTCCCTGGACCACCAGCAGCAGCAGCATTTGGGAACTTGCTAGAAAAGCCCTTCCCCCAGACCTGTTTTTGATAAATCCATTGTCATTTTCCATGGCTGTAATCTTGACAGAAGCAGACCGCCACATCTTTCTCCCACAGAGCAGCTGATGGGTTTGAACCACTGACCTTTTGGTTAGCAGCTGAGAGCTTAACCACTGCACCACCAGGGCTCCTTTTGTTGTTGTTAGGTATCATCAAGTCAATTTTCAACTTATAGTGAGTCCACGTGGCAGAGCAGAACTGACCTATAGGGTTTTCTGTAATCTTTATGAGAGGAGTCCTGGTAGTGCAATGGTTAAGCATTTCGCTATTGTTAAAGCCTTCCACTTGTCGTATTTCTGTTACAGCAGCACTAAATAACTAAGAAAGACTCTGGTACCAAGAGTGGGGTGTTGCTCTAACAGACACCTAAAACCTGGAAGCAGTTTTAGAATTGGGTAATGGGTAGAGGCTAGAAGAGTTTTAAAGTGCCTAACAGTAAAAGCCTAGATTGCCTTGAAAAGACTATTGGTGGAATCATGGATGTCAAAGACAATTCTGGTGAGGGCTCAGATGGAAGTGAGGAGAACTGTAACACCAGAAATGGTGACGATGACAAGAAGAAGCAGCAGAGAAACAGTGCAGCAGATGGTACAGGAGCCGACCCATGGAGCAAGAGAGCTGAGTGTCTTCGGGCAGGAGGCTTCCTGGTGGAATGGAGTACCTCCAGGCACTTATCGGTAGAGCTAAAGAATGTCGTTAACACTTGCCTGAGCAGGGCAGGGGCCAGGCCAACCTGAGGGGCCAAGAGGCCGAGAGGCCAAAGAACCAGCAAGCAGAAGCTAAAGAGACAAGGAGCATGAGAAGCAGAGGTGCCTCAGTCTCAAAGGGTAGGGCCATGACCTCTTGGGTCTCAAAGGGTGGGGCCATGGCCTTCTAGGTTTCAAAGAGTCAGATCGTCACTGATTCAGTTCCAGAGTGTGGGGCTGTAGTTCATGAGTGCCAGGGGAATGGGGCCAGAGCTACTGCTCAAAGCTGAGGGGACAGGGCTGCAATGCCCAAGGGGCAGAAGTTGGACTAGGAGGGGCTGCCCAAATTTGAGGTAGCAGAGTTGCTGTCCCAGTGGGTCTAGAAGGCAGAGCTGAAGCCCAGGGATGAAGGGCCTTTACCCAGGATCCAGAGAGCATGGCCAGCACCCAGAGTCTGGAGAACAGAGCCATTGCCTAAATGATCCTAGAGAAGAGGATTATTTTCAAGCCTTGACAGCTAATGTAATGTGTTCTGCTGGGTTTTGGACTTGCTTGGTGCCTGTTATCCCTTTTTTCCTTCCAATTTCTCCCATTTATAATGGAAATATCTACCTTTTGTCTGTTCTACCATTGTACTTTGGAAGCAGATAACTTGTATTCTAGATTTTACAGATGAAGAGGAATTTTGCCCCAGGATGGAATTTGGACTTGGAGTTGATTTAAGACTTTTGGGATGACATGATGGGGTGAATGTGTTTTACATGTGGCAAGGACATGAATTTGCGGGGGCCAAAGGGTGGAATATTATGGATTGAGTTGTGTCCCCCAGAAATGTGTGTCAACTTGGTTAGGCCATGATTCCCAGTATCGTGTAGTTGTTCTCCATTTTGTGATCTGATGTAATTATCCTATATGTTGTAAATCCTAACCTCTGTGATGTTAATGAGGCAGGATTAGAGGCAGCTATATTAATCAGGCAGGGCACAATCTACAGGGTTAAGTTGTATATTGAGTCAATCTCTTTTGAGATATAAAAGAGAGAAGCGAGCAGAGAGACAGGGGAACCTCATACCACCAAGAAAGAAGAGCCAGGAGCAGAGCATGTCCCATGGACGCAGGGTCCCTGAGCTGAGAAGCTCCTAGACCAGGGGAATATTGATGACAATGACCTTCTCCCAGAGCTGACAGAGAAAGACAGCCTTCCCCTGGAGCTGGCACCCTGAATTTGGACTTCTAGCCTCCTAAACTGTGAGAGATACTAACTGAAAAGTTGGCAGTTGGCAGCTGGAACCCACCTAGTGGCTCTGCAGGAGAAAGACCTGGAAATCTGTATAGATTGCTTGTTGTTGCTTGGTGCTGTCAAGTCGATTTTTACTCATAGCAACCCCATGTGACAGAGCAGAACTGCCCCATAGAGTT